CGGTTTGAAGGTTGTGGTGGGAGAGGGAAAGGAAAGGCAGTTGGGGCCCTCAAAGGATAACTGCAGTGCGGCAGAAGAAGGCGTCTTGGGCCAGTCTATGAGGGCCATCCAAACCGCCTACAACTCCCAAGCAGCCTGCAACAGTCAGGCCCACCTAAGGCATAACTGCCTGCATTTTGGGCCCTGCAGCTGCTTCTGAAAAGGCAGAGATCTCTGTTGGGGTGGAGGGAGGTGGATCAGTGGACAAGGAGTCCCAGCTTAGTGGTGCTGGGAGCTTCAGGACATATTTGGACTCGGGTATAGTAGGAGGAACCTGGGGTGGGGTGGGGTGGGGTGGGCTGGGCTTCAGTTAGAACCACCTGGCTGGAAACTTGACTCTGTTTCCATCTTGGTCACAGAAGAGCATGCTCTGCCCTTTAAGAAAAGAGCCAGGGTGGGACATAGAAGGGGCATTCTCCATGTCAGACGGTTTGTCTGCCTGATCCGGGGAGGATGGACTTATGGAGGTCACCTGGAGAAGGTGTTTTGAAGCCCAGCTGGAGATGGAGGACCGTCGCTGAAAAGCCTGCATGGCGTCTTCCCACCAGAAGCCAGAGCTGTCCCCACCAGTCTTGGGGACAAATTCTGTACGGGATGACTATGTTGTGTGACCAACGCCTTCCTTTTGTCTGCCCTGAAAGTGCCACCAAGAAAAACTGGCTGACGCCACGCTCCCAAATTAGAAAAGAGAGAACAAATGTCTCTTTCTAGTTCTTCCAACATATGTTCATAATTTTAATTGGCTTCTCTTGTCTGCCCTTACCGCACACATATTTCGGTGTCTCTCTTTCCCCGATCCAAATCTTTCAGCTCTTCTCTGACCGTTGGACTCAGCTAGGGTAGACAAGTCTGCAGCTGCAGAGAGAAATGCTTGATAGTCGTGTTCGGGCAACTCTCTAACCTGGTTATTGAACAAGCCCATCTTCTGAGTTTGCACAGAAAGGCTTGGATTCTTGTAGCACCTCAAACCAAGGTTAGCGTGTTGTGCCAATGCGGTTCCGAGGCCTGTGTGCTGTGTGAGTCCAGCATTTAAACTTATTTGGAGAAGGGGCATTTCATAGATCAGAGTCCACCCCAAACAATGCGTGGGTTCCTTATGGGGCCTTGTTGAATGTGGTTGGGCACAGTGCGTAGTGTGTCTTTGGGTGTCTTTTTTTTGTTGTTCTTTTTTGTCAGACGCAGTTGCTCAGAATAACAACTCCCATCTTTTTGTCAACAGAGGACTTGGTGGAACCATTTTCTTGCTTTTTTCCTCTCCACGGTACCCAAATTCTCAAAACTGTCATTCCTTTACACCGTATTTCCTCCAGCTTTAAGTAAAGGATGCCAAACAATATTACATGCTAATATTTGTTTTGCATTTTCTTTTTTCCTGCTTTATATTTAAAAGAACCTTAAAAAAAAAGGACGACAAGGCCCCGTTATGGCTTTCTTAACTGAGCAGCCACAACCAACAGGAGGGAAATGAGAAACAGGCCCAGCCTGGCGAGAGCCTCCGAAGGACCGACGGATCATTCCTG